TATCCCTTTACTTGTTCCGTTCCATCTTCTTTTATAGAAAATTAGGACTCCCAGGATGGATTCGCCATTATTTCGTCAACCATTGTTATCCGTTGTTATCAACGATGGAATCGAAAAGAAAGACCGATGTTTTCTTTCTTTCATTTTATTCTTCTTATTTTTTGGTTCTCTCTTCAATTATGTAGAACTAAATTTTAATTTTAAGCTCTCGAGGTAAGATATTAAAATATTTTACTTGTTAAAAAAAAATCTTCGAGAATGACAATTACGTTTCACGCGTTACTTTTCTTTCTTTCTTTCTTTCTTTCTTTCAAAGAAAGGAAGGCGAGTTTTTCTTATTTTCTTTTTTTTTTTTTGATTAGCTAACTTCATTTTTATTATCTTCTTGACACTTGGCACGCGTTCGAATACTAATAATGAAGACCCGACATATAAGGGGAAAGAAAAAATGCAAGGAGGAGAAGAAACAGAAGATTTTTCTTTCGTTTATTCTGCATAATTCTTATGAATAATGTAGTGCGATCAAAATGATCGATTCAATGATATCTTAAGATAATGGCGAATCGATAGTTAGTTCGGATGGGTTTGTGGGTTTTCCTGTTGTTTGCATTTCTTAGGGTAAGAATGACATTAGTAGCTAGTTTATTTCTCCATTTACTTCTTCTTTTTCCCCAAAAAGAAACATAAGGATTCGTGACAAATAATAAATCCCCAAAATATTATATCAGCATAACAACGACAACTGTCATAAGAATTATTCGATAAAAAAATAAAAACACAGAAAATAAGATAATCTAATCGGTCTTATTTAAAAAAGTATAAGTAAAGGATTTGTCAACACATAAAGAGAAAATGTGAACTGATTTTGAACAAAGAAAAGGATGAAAATGGATCTAGCAATAGTATTAGAGAAAAAGAAGAAAGAGGAAGGAAGAAGGAGTTGGATGAAAGAGGAACTGGTTGAAGAAAGAAGGAAATAGTCGTGGCTTTTAGGGTGAGGGTTAGATAGCCAACAATATGTATGTGTCGGATCTACCTAGTTTCTAACGTAGATCGCTAAGAGAGAGAGAGAGAGGGTGAGGGGAGAGTAGGTAGGAAGAGAATTGGGTCAGCCAGCTTGTGAAGAGTACTTCAGGTGTTGTTACCTATCTATCTACCACCGACCTACCTACCTAACCACCCATCCTCTCCTAAGTTTTGAGACCATCTACACCTACCAACCTACCCATCCCTCCTATCTCTCTTGCCAATACATCCACTTTCTCACTTCAACGAGACGTTTCTCGCTAAACCTACAACGATGTCTACCGCATCGTTCCTCAGAGACAGAACGACGACATGGTGGCTTCTTTAAAAATGACCTAAGATATAGTTGGACATTGAATTTATAGCTTAGTTCACTTTACTTTTTCAAGTAGAAGATAGGATATAGACTCGTCTAAATTCCGAAAACAACTATTCTTGTTCTTTACGTTATACCGAGTTTTTATAACTACAATAAGAAATTTTGCCTATATTTTATAGATACAATAAAATTATTAATAATAATAATCATAATAATTGTAATAATAATAAAAATAATAATAATAATAAAATAGAAACTATCGTTGTTAGGAATGATAGTAGTGATAAAAGTAAAAGGAACTGGGTTGTCGTGATTTTCTAAGGAAAAAATTTCATCAGAAAGGTAAAAGGAAACGAAGGCGATATTCTCAATGACATCGATGAGCAGGGACAAAAAAAAAAGACTGGAGAAGTTTCGAAGAAGGGAAAAAAGAAGTCTCGATAGACGTGGCCCAAGCTCATCCTCGTCATTCGTGGAACCTTTCGAATTGGACGTTCGAGTATAATATCACGTCGATATATTCTCCTCGAGTTTCAAAAAGAATTAGAGAGAAAAGGGGGAAAAAATGCAAGAGTATTGGTGTGCACGGTAACGGGACTACATGCTGCTTCTCTTTTTCACGATTCGTTCTAGGAATTCATTTCGTGCCTCTCCGCTCTCATCACCGTTACTTGTGCACGAGTATCGGCTGATAACAACCAAGAGAAAGTCTTCTAAGAATAAGAAAACGAGAAAGAGCGAGAAAGAGGATGGGAGGGTTGAAAGAAAAGTTGCCCTTTTTGAGCAGCAATTTATGAAACTCTTTGTGAATATCAAAGGAATTTCTTTTATTTCTTTCTCTTTTTTATGTATAAATAAATTTTCAAATATGTCTGCCTATTCGAAAAATAATATAAAATAAATTAGAATAAATTTTGATAAAAATAAAAAGAATAAAACCAAATTGCAAAATAAAAATAATAAATGTTAGGAAAGAGACAAAGAAAGCAAGAAAGGTATACTGTAATGGGATAAAAAGTAAAGAAAATAAAAAAAGACAGAAAGAGAGAGAGAGAGAGAGAGAGAGAGAGAGAAAAATAGAAAAAAGAGAAAGATAGAAAAAGAATGAAGAGAATAAGAAAAACCTGTGGGAATCGGGAATCCGAAAAGTAGAGGATAGAATCAGAGAGGGAGGTAGGATATTGGGGAACAGGGTAGGAGGACGAAAGTGGGGATGAATCAGTAAAGAGAAAGTAGAGGGAAAGAAACGATGTTCGGAACAATGCGATACAACAACTAGACCGTGTGAAGTGCAATATTTCTAGCGTTTCTCGTTTCGCCAGTATAAAATACGTACTAGTAGGTCCTACGATCCATAACCCACGCCCACCGGATCGCAGGTACACGCCTCGTGTACTACAAGGATATCACGGTAGGCCGTACGCGCACGCGCGCGCAACACACACACATCGCGTGTACTCCTATGGAAAAGAGAGAGAGAGAGAGAGAGAGGGCAAAAAATTTTCATGTTTCTGCAATCCGCGCGGCCTCTTCTCGTTATCGTTTCACTCTGTTCGTTCGTTCGTTTCGTTTCGTTTAGTTCGTTCTAAGTGGCACAAAACGAAAAGAAAAGAAATCCGTGTAAAACGTTCGTAATATATTTTTTTTTCAGCAGAAGGTATTAGGGTAGGGGTTGATTTTTGTTTTTCTTCGTTTGTTCTTTTTTCATCCCGAACATTTTCTTTCTCTTTTCATTTTTTTTTTCATTTGTCAAAAGAATTTTCATCTCCTCCACTTTCTATTCCTCCCATCCCCTCGACCTTTCACGTCCCTTATCTTTTTTCTCTTTCACTTTTTTTCCTATTTCATGAAATAATCGACAAATAAAAAAAAAATTCTACAAACGAAACTTATCGCTTATTCGTGTTTTGCGAGTCAAACGATACTGTCGAACCGAATACGTACACAGAACTAGATCGGTAATTAAACGTAAACTGTGATTCGTGGGAGAGCGAACGAATGGAAAAAAGAAAAACCAACAAAAAAGAAGGAAGGAATAATAAAATGATACAAAAAGAAACGAGAAGAGTACGAATATAACGTTACGTAGATTTATACATATATATATA